ATAAACGTCTGCTATTATTTTTATGACTATTTTTCAGCCCTCTGTGGTAGATGCTGTTGGCTATCTAATACAAGTTCACCCGCCCTCCTTCCTCCTTTCCCACAGACCCTGGACTCAGTTTGCCCGCCTAGGCGGTCTGCAGTTCAGGGAATGTGGGTGCAGCTGAGGCTGCTCTTGCTGCTGACGGCTATGGGCTAGGGTCCTGGGCCTATGAGAATAAGGGGACTCTGCTGGAGGCTTCAGGAAAGGTCTCCCTGCTCCTGAAAATGGCACTCGAGCCAGAGAAGTCCCATTTTCTGCCTCTGGCAGAGTCACTAGAAGAGACACTGTACTATGGCAGCCATCTTGGAACTGTGACAGGGGACACTGAGTTCAAATCACCACAGTGAAGTCATGGGTGGAGAGAGAGGGAAAGAAACTGGGTTGGAGATGCTGGAAGCAGCTAATTTATCAACCCCAGTGTCCTGGACAGCTTGTTATGTAAGGTAATAAATGTACAAATCTTCCTTCAAGTTCTGAAATTGGGTTACTGATTAAAAGCAGCCAGAGGTGCCCTGGCCAGGTGGCTCAGTTGATTGGAGCATCGTCCCTTATACCAGAAGGTTTCGGGTTTGATCCCTGGTTAGAGCATGTATGGGAGGCAACCAATTGATGTTTCTCACATCAGTGTTTCTCTTTCTCTTTCCTCCCCTTCCTCTTTCTCTAAAATCAATAACTTATCCTTGGATGAGGATTAAAAAATAAGAAAAAGCAGCCAGAGGCATCCTGGCCCCACCCCCTACCCGCCTAGGACCCCCATACTCACCAGCAGGGCCCGCACTGCCTCAGCCACGGCCCCCTTCTCCTCTTCCAGGCTCTGGATCTGCTCCCGCAGCTGCCTCAGCTCCTGCCATGTTGAAATCTGGGGATGGACACAGCAGGGGAAAGTGTGAAGTGGCCACTGTCCTTTGCCCCTTCTGGTGAGAGCCTCACCTCACTGGCCACCTGGACCAGGGGTGGGGTGAGGAAGAGACCCTCACGTCCCCGGTAGCCATTCTTCTCCCCTTCTCTTCAGTACTAGGATGTCCTGATGTTTCTCTTTTTCAGTCCTCTTGGACTGGATGACGGACCCTAAGGAGAGCTGAACAGAACATCCTAAGGGACACAGAGCAAGAAGAGGAAAGGATCTGGGCACTGAGGGACATGCCAGCAATCAGCTCTTGACTCCCATGTCAGAGCAAAAGAGCCTCTATCCTAGGGGTTACCACAGCCGCTAGCCCTGCACTCTCCAACACGGGGTCAGGAGGGGCGAGAGAGACTGGCACCGCAGCTCTCATTTCTTGGGTGCACATATTGCCGCGGAGGCCCTCTGGGAGCCCAGGTCCCTGGGCAAACCTCTTTGTCCTCTCTGGTTGCAGTTACCCTTTGACAAAATGGTACAGACCCTGCCCTACTACCCCAGGCTGGAAATCTGAAGGGGAAGGCGGACCACAGGGTGTGTTGCTACTCGCTTGGTGGCTCCTCCTGGATGTTTCTTGGACACTTCATGCTCACCATGTGCAAGAGTGAGCATCTCCCTCTAAGCATCTCCCTCAAATCTGCTCCTCCTCCTTAGGGACAGCCCCACAAACTCCCACCCCCCCACCCCAATGCCCTGGGCCTCCTCCTGGATACCACCCCAGCCCTGACGCCAAGTATGTGTCCCGTCCTTTCTGCCCGTGAATATCCATCAAATCTGTCCTTCCCTATTCCTTTCTCCCGGCCATCCCAGATCCTGTCACTTCCCACAAGGATCCCCGTGTGAACCGCCCAGCCTTTAGGCTCACCCCCTCCAACCCAGCCAGAGCTCGTACACAATTCCTCTCTCGCCTGAAAGCACTCACGGCTCCGCAATCTCCAGGAGCGAATCACATGCCTTGCTATTGCCTGCAAAGCCACATACCATATCCCTCTTCACACTTTATGCCGTAAAGAGGTGTCTTTTAAGCTTTGGAATGTGATCCATTACTGTTATAAAATTAATTTAGGATCTCTAAATCTGGACTTTAAAACATTGTGGACAATGTACATCAAATGGGCCATTTTTGCCACTTTTAAAAAAGATTTTATTTTTAGAGACAGGTGAAGGAAGAGAGAAAGAGCAGGAAAGAAACATCAATGTGTGGTTGCCTCTCACATGCCCCACACTGGGGAACCCAGCCCACAACCCAGGCATGTGCTCTGACTGGGAATCGAACCAGCGACCGTTTGGTTCACAGGCCAGTACTCAATCCACTGAGCCACACCAGCCAGGTGACATTTTTGTCATTTTTAAGGGTACAATTCAGTGGCACAAAGTATGAATTACATTCACACTGTTGTGCTATCGTGAGCCCCATCCATCTTCAGAACTTTTTCATCTTCCCCATATGAAACTGTGTACCCATTAAACACTAATTCCCATTCTCCTCTCCCCTACCCTAGCCCCAGCAACCACCATTCTTCTGTCTCTGTGAAATTGACTATTCTAAGTGTAATCATATAGTATGTCTTTTTATAAGTGGATTTTTTCACTTAGTATAATGTCCTCAAGGTTCACCCATGATAGAGCATATGTCAGGACTTCCTTTTTAAGGCTGAACAATATTCCATTGTGTGTGTGTGTATCCCATTTTGTTTATTCATTCATTTGTCAATGGACACTTATTTCCATATATTGGCTATTGTGAGTAATGTTGCCATGAACATCAGTGTACAAGTATCTATTCAAGTCCCTGCTTTCAATTCTTTGGGGGTATACACCCAGAAGTGGAATTGCTGGATCAAATGGTAACTCTATGTTTAATTTTTAGAGGAACTACCAGACTGTTTCTCCAAAGCGGATGTAACATTTTACATTCCCACCAACAATGCAGAGGATTCCAATTTCTCTACATCCTTGTCAAAATTTGTTATTTCCTGCTTTTTTGATAATAGCCATTCTAATGTATGTTTAAGCTGGCATTTTTAAAATGAAATAGAATATAACAAAACATAAGACTACATCACACATAGTAAGAGCAAGGATTGTCAGTAAAACTTTGGTGTCAGCCCTGGCTGGTGTGTGGCCTGTGAACCAAAGGGTCACTGGTTTGATTCCCAGCCAGGGCACATGCCTGGGTTGTGGGCCAGGTCCCCAGTAGGGGATGTGTGAGAGGCAACCACACATTCATGTTTCTCTCCCTCTCTCCTTCCTTTCCCCTCTTCCTAAAAATAAATAAATAAAATCTTAAAACAAAAAACTTTAGTTTCATCTTTGGGTGTGTGTACTAGATCAGGACATGCAATGTACTTCTTAGTCTCAGCCACAAAGTTTGGAAGACCCTACTACAGGCTGTGATACTCTAAATTATCTACCTGTATACTGTAGTAGCATTGGTCCCTCCACTTGGGACACTCTTCTCCTGTTTCCCTGGCTAACCTCACTCATTCCACAGATATTTGCCTGATGCCACCTCCTCTGAGAAGCCCTCCCAGTACTGTGTCCTATATTCTGTCTTTATAGCACACATCAAAGATTAATTATATGTTTTGAACTGTATGTTAAATATCTCTCTTTCACTAGACTGTGAACTCAGATTGCCTTGCTCATGAGTAAGCATAGTGGAGTAGTTAAGACTGGCTTCTGGAGCCAAACAGCATTGTTCAAATTCCCACTTGTCACTTACCAGCTACATGATTTTGGGTAATTATCTTTTCTGAGCCTTAGCTTTTCCTCTGACAACACAGGGAAAAGAATTGCACCTACTTCCCAGTGTTCTTGCAAAGCTTAAATAAGGTTAACATTTACAAAACATTTAGAAGAGGATAGTAGGCAAGTCCAAGAGAGGGCCGCAAGGATTTGGAGTCCCCACCATTCTCAGCACTTCGCCGGGACCTAGGAGTATGGTGATCCCGGTTCCAGTTCCCCAGAAGATAGCATTATATAAGTACTGAGATTTTTTTTTACTATTATTGCCACCTATTCTCAACACCAGGAACATAGATAGGCGCTCCCTACATATCCGTTCATTCATTAAATAACCCTATTTAACTGCCTGCTATGCGTGGGGCAGATGCAGGACCTCTCACTCCCCAAAGGCAACAATGACCCCCACTCTCTGCCGCCCCTCCCCCCTGCGCCGTCCGCGTCTTTGCATTTGGTCCTAGGATAAGCCTGGCATGAAGTCGAAGCACAGAGGGCACTGGTACAAAGTTCCTAGCGCAGAGTAGATACCCACCCAGCCCGCTTTATGGAACAGGTGCATAAAGGGTGTTTGGACAGCAGGGACTTCGCACTACGTGAACAACTGGCACATTCGTGAGGGAAAAGGACAATACTGGTTACACTTAGAAAGTAACTAAAATTCCTGTAATAAGATCACTCCCTGCTAGACAGTGTCTCGCACGCCCATTTGTCCGTAAAACGAACAGCTAATAGGTAAGCGTTTCCGCCCCGTGACAGCTGGCCCACGCAAGCGCACTCACGATCGCTGGCAGGTCGTCCGGCCGCAGCTCCCCCTTGCGGTGCTCCAGCGTTCGCGCGGCTTCTTCCGGGCATGCGCAAAGCGACTCCATGTCCAGCTGAGGGAGTGCACTATAGCCCTCGCGCGCGTGCTCGTACAGGAGGTTCCGGCCTCGTCTCTCGGTTGTGAAACTTTTCCTTGGGCTCTTGTTGCAGACACAACTTTCCCGGGGTCGAATCCCTCGGGCGACCACCAAAGGCCACAAACGCCGCGTTATAGACGTAGCCATCTTGGCCAGGGTTGGGACACACAACTTTCATCCCGCCCACTCCGCGTTTACACCAATTGGAAAGCAGTCATCCTGCTCGGGATGAGCCACTTAGACCCTGGCAGAGGTGAGCCCCGCCCATATCTCAAAACACGATTCAATGAGAAAAGTTTACCGAGATTGACTCTGTCGCTGCCCAATAGCAGTCGATGCCACGCCCTTCCGTGTACGTGATAGGCAGAACCAGCCAATCCCTGCCAGTATGACCCCCGGAAGCGGCAAGAGGCCGGATGCAGCGTGTCTGGGGCTCTCACTAGGGTCGGTGAGGTCGAAGGGATCTTAGAGCATCTCGAAAGCGCTCCGGTTCTCTGTTTCCCTTATTTTAGTATGCGGTGGGGGCTGGGGGGGGGGTGGTTGGGTCCCCAAGAGCTTACTTACCCAGAGAAAGGCATCAGAGGCATCAGAGGAAATTCCTTAAATTTAACCAGAAGGTCCCGAGAGCGGGAAGGGGAGGTTTTGGATCCTTGCCCAACTACAGCCACTTTCCACTACTCCCTTCTAACTTTCTTACCCCCTAATGCAGGAACGCTGCAGGCGGCGGAATGTCCTGGTCCGGCCTTCTCCGTGGCCTCAACACGTCCCTAAATTATGGTAAGTGAGGGTCTTGGGCTGTAGAGACGGGGCTGGATGAGGATTATCTCCTCCGGGACTTGTGTGCCTCTTCTGCAGAACCTAGGGAATCAGAGTTTTAAATCAAGGACGGTTGCGCAATGGGTTTTGGCGGAGCTCGGGGTGCAAAAGCAAGATGTGAGAAGTGGTTGCATTCAGGGCTACTTTGCGTCGGGTGAGTACCAGGAGTTTGGTTTAATTCTTTATTTCTTTAGTAACTGCTGTACTTGCTAAATACCACTGTAGCTGAGACATCCAAGCGAGACATTTAACTCAGTCATTCGGCTGATATTTTTCAAGAGCCTTATATGTGCCAGGCACTGAGTAGGACGCTTTATTTATGAACTTACTCCTTTTACAAACATTAAAGTGCTTCTCATGGGCCACACGCTTTGTGAGGTATTTCATTCGCTTACTTACTAGCCAAACCTTTATTAAGCACTTTCTGTTTGCCACTCACCAAGGATCACAAGGGTTCACCAAGGATCACAAAGCTGGGCAAAACAGGCCTGCACCCTGCCTGGGGAATCTGGGTTAGCTTAACATGCGGGTTTCATGGTAGCCTCTCACACATAGTACTCAGGAGGGAGACTTGATTATGGAGGGCACGGAGACACTAAGAGGTGAAGAGTCTTGCTAAAGAGCACACCACCAGGAAGAGACTTGTAGGACTGTCTCATCTCCTTTGAGGATTCTGCTGTAACTTGAGACAAAGGAGATGTGGAAATGGATAATAGGACCAGGACTTGCGCTGTATATAGAGGGGAGTTTGGGTGTGAAAGGGCATCCAGCTCTGGCTGGTGTGGCTCAGTGGGTTGAATGCTGGCCTGCAAACCAAAAGGCTGCAGGTTTGATTCCCAGTCAGGGCGCATGCCTGGGTTGTGGCCCAGGTTCCCCAGTCGGGGCATGTGAGAAACAACCGATAGAGGTATCTCTCACACATTCATGTTTCTTTCCTTCTCTTTCTCCCTCCCTTCCCCTCTCTCTGAAAAGTAAATAAATAAAATCTTAAAAGAAAAAGAGCCCTGGCTAGGGTGGCTCAGTAGATTGAGTGCCGGCCTGTGAACCAAAGGGTCATGGGTTCTATTCCCATTGTAGGGCACATGCCTGGGTTGTGGGCCGGGTCCCTGGTAGGGGGCACGTGAGAGGCAACTGCATATTGATGTTTCTCTCCAGCTCTTTCTCCCTCCCTTCCCCTCTCTAAAAATAAATAATTTTAAAAAAAGAAAGGGCATCCATGCCAGTGACAGTAGACTTAGGACTTCAAACCCTGGACTGGGAACTCTTAAGAGGGCATGGTCCAGGGCTGTCTCAGTCACCACTGGGTGTCCCCATTATTGGGGCCAAGACACAGTGAATGTTGAAGAGAATCCAGTTGTCTTTGAGTCTTCTTGCATCCTACATTCTAACCATGAGCAAATCCTGTGGGTCTGCCTTGGAAATATATTTCCTCCCTCCCTGCCTTTCCTCTTCCTAGAGTGCAGCTACACTGATCTCCTTCCTCTTCGTGTGTTTGGGGACACAGGCTGCAGCTGGGTGAACAAGGGGGTGAGTGGGGACACGAGGTCAAGGAAGTACCAGGGATAGACTGTGTGGGGCCTTGTGGGAGGACTTTGATTCTTACCCTGACTAAGATGGCCCCACAGGAGGGCTCTGAGAAGGGGGAGGATGTGATCTGCCCCAGGTGTCCACGGGGCCACTCTGGCTGCATGTCAGAGCAGATGGTAGGAATGGGAAGACCCAGGAGTGGAATGACACAGAAGAGGGTGGACAGGATACTAGCGGGTGCAATGGAGGAAGGGACAAGGTCTGCTTGAAAGTTGAACTGACAGGATCTGCTCACAGGGCATGGAAACGGGTGTGACAGGAGGAGGGTCACCTCCCTGGAATACCCCATAGTGGTGCTGTGGGGAGGGCACGAGTGAATGTACGTGTGATGTGTAGAACAGCAGGCGAACATTGTGAGCCTATTTACTTTTATTATTTTTAAACAGCATTAAAATTAATACTGTCCTGGCAGAATGAAATGAGTTACTCATGTAAAATGCATAAAGTAGAACCTGACACGTGGTGGATGCTCAATAAATGTTAGTTGTTACTACTGTTATCTATGAGTATGCCAAGATATACACAGGGATCTTGTAAAGTGGTTGAAACAGTGCCTAGAACACCAGAATTGAATTGTTATAACTGTTACCTGTTCATTGGGATAATAACCCCCCTCTTCCTTCCCGGTTGTGTCTCTCCAGGTCTAGCCCTGGTCCCACAGTTCTGGGCCACCCGCCCCATGGCCACCCTGAACCAGATGCACCGCCGAGGCCCTCCAAAGTGGCCATCGCCAAAACTGGGTCCCACAGAAGGCCGGCCACAGCTGAAGGGTGTAGTTCTGCGCACATTTATTCGTAAACCTAAAAAGCCCAACTCAGCCAACCGCAAGTGCTGCCGCGTGCGGCTCAGCACAGGCCGCGAGGCTGTCTGTTTTATCCCAGGAGAGGGCCACACCCTGCAGGAGCATCATGTCGTGCTTGTGCAGGGCGGCCGTACCCAAGACCTGCCCGGCGTCAAGCTCAAGGTTGTGCGTGGCAAGTATGACTGTGGCCATGTGCAGAAGAAGAAGTGACCACCAGGTGCATGGTGTGCTGGGGTTCACACAGAACAAGAACCTTTGTCTCTGGGTTCCTACAGTATCTTTGGGAAGCTAGGCCAGCTCTAGAAGCAGCTTGTCCTGGTTCAAATCCTGGTTTCACCTCTTCCATCAGGACCACCAATAATAGCCCATGGAGGTCCTGGGTGTGAATTAGAAAAAGGTGCCCCTCCACCAACACCCTTGGTGTCCATGTATAGAGTGTTGGTGCAAGAGTCGTCTTCTGCTGGGACAGTACACTGTACTGCCATCTAATGGGAAGGGGTTGCAATAAATACACAGACTCTGTGGTTGTGAGGAGTACAGCTTGCCCAGTGTTCACCTTCTGTGTGGTCTTGGCAACTGACATGCCCTCTGGGCCTCTGTTTCATCCTCTACCCACAGCATCCCCTTTGTTGGGTTTGGTGAACATTAGACACCCTGTGAACAAAGCACATGCGGATGGGTACTCTTTTAAATTTTGGAGTCTGATGGCAGCACTGAGACCTAGTTGCCCTTCTTGCTGGCCCTGGTCCCTGGACTAGGAAAGCCCCACCCTCATGTTCCTTCCTGAAAATGGCAGTAATTGTCATGGTGGCAATGAAGGGGCATCGAGAAAGATTGAATGGGGGTTGCTGCTGTGTAGGTGGGAGCTTCCCTTCTATGTTGTTCTCAGAATCACACACAATCTGGGTTCAAATCCTGCCTCTACCTCTTAGTTGTTCTGTGACTTTGGGTTTGTTACCCCCTTGGCGCCTGTTTCATCCCTTGGAAAATGGTTCTGAAAGTAATGCTGCCCTTACCTGATCTTATGCTTGGCCATGTTAGGTTTTAAGATTGGGAGATGTGCTTATATCCTTTTTTTTTTTTTATTTATTTAAAGGTTTTATTTTTAGAGGGGAAGGGAGTGAGAAAGAGAGGGTGAGAAGCATTGATTGGTTGCTTCTCATGTACCCTGACTAGAAACCAAAACTAACCAAGGCATATGCTATGACCGGGAATTGAACTGGCAGCCTTTCACTTTGTGGAACAATGCCCAACCGCCTGCGCCACACCAGTCAGGGTGGTCCTTATATCCTTGGGCTCTGGAGCCTGACTCAGGTACAAGTTCTGCCTATCCTACTTACTGGCCAGGTGACCTTGGGCAGATCATTACACTTGGCCTGTTTCCTCCTGGACTAAAAGGCATGAACCATTGAGGACTGGCATCAGAGCCGTTGGGTGCAGCCTTGTTGCTCACCTGTTTCCAGCACAGTGCTTAGCATACCTCCAAAGTTCTCACAATTGAGAACACTCCACAAGGCCTTTTAGGATCAGAGCAGGGGGCCGATAAGTGCACTGATTACAGACAAGTCCCCCATTATCTCACATTTCGCACCAATTTTACTGAGCTAGTTTGGTGGCTGTGCCCATCTGTGGAAACAGTGGAGGACATGAGGGGAGTGGGGACAGGAGAGCTTTCCTTCACGACATGCCCTGTTCCTGGAATTTGTATGCAAGTGGGCTAGGGTGGACAAAAGGAGGGTGTTGCCTTACAGGAGACAAGCTGCTCCCGAGGCAGAGGCAGGAGGTGTGGGTGGAGGGCACAGCGCAGACCTGGTCTCAGATTCTGTGAGAAAGTGCCAGTCTGGCCCAAAGGGGAGGTGCTGATGGGGCAGTGTCAGAGGGAGTCGCACAGGTCCCAGAGCTGAATCCCAGAGGCTCCCCCAAACAACAAAGGGTTTCTTTGATGCCCCTGTTGGTCCCTTCCAGGGCAGGCTTTTCTGACTGGCTTTTCTACCCCCTGCCAGCAATCAGCTTAACCCGGAAATGTACTAACAAAGGTCCTGTCCCAGGTTTTAGCAGCTTCCCCCGCATTAGCAATCCCGTTTTGGCCTTGGTTTTTTGACCCAATCTACCAGCTGATATCCACACATGAGAAAACAATTTGCAGACAAAGTAAAAGTCTCTCTTAATCCTTGATTCTTCTCCCTTCCACCCCATGGACTCAGGAAGCTGTGAATAGCTTGGTGAACAGCATGTGGGGTGCCATGCTGAAGCAGCAGCAAGTGGGGTTTGTTGGAACCTGGCTGGGAACAAGTCACATGGGCCCTCAGCTGCCCCTGGGCATATCCTCTGGCTCCCAGCTACAAAGCTGCCCTTGATTGGCAATGACGTCTGGCAGGTGGTAGTAGGTCCTGGAAGGCCTGATCGGGCTGGTGGTCTAGGACAGGCGGATCCTGACCCTCATGCTGGGGTGGGTCCCAAGCGTGCCGTAGTGCCCCACCCAGGAGCGTGTGTCTCCATACTGCTCAAAAGACATACTGGATGCTCTTGCCAAAGTTGGTGGAGACGTGAGAGACGTGCATGGGGAAGGAGAATGAAATGGTGAGGACCCGTGGGCTCTTGTTCTTCCAACTGGACTGATAATCCCCCCAGTCAGGTGCCACGTCCTGCTGTAGGTGCTGGGGATACAGTGGTGAGGAAAGCCCCGCAAAAACCCTGCCCTGGTAGAGCTGACCATCTAGTAGGGGACCCAGACACTGAAGATGGATAGTGGTAGGGGCAGAGGGAATTTTGCAGAATGGTGGGGTTGTGAAGTGAGTAAGCAAAGGCCCCACTGAAGTGACATTTGAGCAGGCACCTGAAGGAGGAGGAAGAGCCATGTGGTGATCTGGAGGAAGAGTGTTCCAGACGGGACCATCAGTGCAAAGGCCCTGAGGTAGGAGTGTGACTGGAGCACAGTGAGGGTGTAAGTAGGAAATGAGGTCAGGAAGGTAACTGACAGATGGCGTGGGGACTTTGGGCGACAAGAGGACTTTGGCTTCTGGCTTTTTAATCTCTTGAATTTTTTTTCTTGACCTAAGATTCACCCAACATAAACCATTTTAAACTGTACAATTGAAGTGTTTTTTAGTACATTCACAATGTTATGCAACCATCACCACTATCTAACTCTGGAACATTCTATGACCCCATTTATAAAAAACCCCCCTCATATCCATTAGCCATTCATTACTTCCAATTCCTTCTCCTAGCCCCTGGCAACCACTAATCCATCTGCTTTCGGTCTCTATGGCTTTGTTTATTCTGGACATTTCATCTAAAAGCAGTCCTACAATATGTGGCCTTCTGTGCCCGGTTTCTTTGATTTAATGTGCTGTTTTCAAGGTTCATCCATGTCGTAGCATGGATCTGGTACTTCATTTCCTTTTATAGCAGGATGTTAGGACTTTGGCTTTTTCTCTGAGTTGTAGCTATGGGAGGGTTACAAGCAGGAGAGAGCGGTGATCTGACTCTGTAATGGAGACGATTCTTGTTGGATGGCGAGAGACCAGGAACGGAAACAAGACCACCTGAATGGTTATTTTGAAAACAGGTGCGATCATTTTGACAGCACAGGCTGGGATGCCTTCCTGGGCTTGAATCAGGCCCTGCACACTTGAGTGTGACTCTGGGGCAGTCATGTGACCTCCTGTGTCTCAGTTTCCTCACCTCTAGAATGGGGATAGGTGCTCAGTAAATGTAGGTTGAACGACTAGTCTGTTGTACTAATGAAATGAAAAGGAAAACTCTTGGAACAGGGCCTAGGATATAATAAGGACTCTAGGATTGTTAGCTGTTACTATTACAGATATGCAGTGGTAAGACAAGCTGAGAAGGGAGTCTGAGCAGGGTGAGAGGTTAGCTTGCCTGGACCTACCTGTCAGCAGCCTCTCAGTCCACTGAAGGACTGGGTTGGGTGAGGCAGAGAACTTGACTACTTCGTTCTAGTACACATCCAGACGGAGCCGGTAGATGCAGCCGCAGTTCTCTCGGGCTCCCCACCTGCCGGGCAGCAGTGACCCTTGATGCCCCCCCCACACCCAATCTCTGGGTCGGGAGGAGGGAGGCTGGGGGCTGAGCCTCCCTGCACTTTGATCAGGTCAGGGCTGCATACAGCCACACTCTGCCTGGAGAGGTATCGGCCTGGTTCTAGGGGGAAGCGGCTGGGTGCTCCAAGAGCGGGGCCAGAGCCTGGGGGAGGAACCTGGATGCTTCTGGGGTGGATTCTAGAGACTGGATCAGGGGTGTGTGTGGCGGGGGAGGGGTGGGTGGAGGTGAGTATGGCGCTCTGGGAGAAACCATGACCTGGGGGACTGGACGAGGAGCCCCAGTATTTCTGGGGAGCCTGAGGGAGCAGGACTCTGGATGCTCTGGGGAGGAGTCAACTGCAGGGAAGAAGCTGGATTTTCTGTGGAGGAGCAAGAGCTGGAGGGAAGAGGAGTCTGAGTGCTTTGTGAAGGAGCCTAAGTGCTCTAAGAGGAGGGGCTCGTCAGGCGTGCAGGCTCTGAAGCCAGCCAGTACCTCTGGCCCAGCTCTGCCCCTTCTGAGCCTTGTTTTTCAGGGCACAATGCTCCCAACCCTTCTGAGGCCTTGGGTCCACAAGCCCTTAGGGTCAGGGCAGAGTTGCAGGTGATCATGGTGAAGTGGGTGAGGGGAGACACCTTGTTTCAGACTGAGCCAGGCCAGTCACTGGCCCCCATGTCAACAACAAACCCTGGCCTGCTGGGAAGATGGTGGGGAGCAGGGCAGAGTGGTGGCTCTGGGCTCACTGAGGCGTCACTTCCCCTCTCAGCCTCACAATGAAGGGGGCACAGGAACAGTGGCCAGCCCATGGCATCGGTGCGGGCATGAAATGAGTCCCTTTTGCAGAACTGCTGCCACCACCATTGGTTTTGGGGGCAGCTTGCCATTCTTCACTCACCAGTCAGCCACACATATCTCAATCTGGGCGCTGTCCAGCAGCTCCTGTCACACCCCTTCCATCAGCAGGTTCACAAGCTGCCTCTTGAAGCACAATCTGGGAAGGGGAGATGGTGCGAGGGGGAGGGCAGGTAGTGTGTGGAGCAGACAGCCACAGCTCCAAAAGTCATCTCTCAGAAGCTTCCTCTGACAACCATATCAAAGCAGTCTGAGAGGTTTGCTCTGTAGACAAGATGTGTGATGGGCTGGGTATCCCCATTGGCTGCTCACATCCTTCTGCCATTTTCCATTCTGTCCTGGATTCCGGGATGCAGGCCTGCCTCTGATATTTGTGGGGACCAGCACATGAGTACAAATGGAGGCCCACACTGAGCAGGGAATTCTGGGGCCTCCTACTAAAGTGTGGGGGCCCAAGGTCTGAGGTGGTATTGCTTGTATGGACTGGTTTCCTTTACCCTTCCTTCCTGTTGGGTCTGCCAATGGGAAGCTCCAGCAGAAGATAGAAGAGAAGAGAGTAAAATTGGGGTATTTAACCTCCTGGCTCCCTCCCAAGCAATCACCTGGGATTGCTGCGTCTGTCAACAAAAAGGCCCAGCTCCACAAGGGCCCTCTCCTCACAGCTTTCTCTGCCTTATATTTCAGTAAGTGTTCTTGCCCTTACTCATCAGGCCTAAGGGTGGTAATGACCCTTCTCCCCCTTTGTTACTAGCTCGGGGGTCATGTGATATCCCTTGTGGTCTGTCTACATCTTTGTAAACAACCCTTCTTCCATCACTTGAATATACCATAATATAGAAATAGTGTTGTACTGGAAGAACTGCTAAGTTGTCCAGTGGAACAGAACACAAGTGCTCAGGGATAGATGGAGGAAGAACTTCAAAAATGACAGAGGCAACACTGCCATTCCACGAGGGAGGGATGGGATCTTTAGTAGATGGAGTTGGGAAAATGGGCTCAATATATGGAGGAGTAGAACTAGATTCATAGTTAACAACACATTCAAAGGTGGATTACAGATCTAAATGTGAAAGATAAAATTGAGTTTACCAAAAGAGAGTATGAGAATATTGTTAGAATCCAAGGGTAGAAAAGGATCTTTTTAAGACAAAATGTCAGCCCTGCCTGGTGTGGCTCAGTGGATTGAGTGCCAGGGCCTGCGAACCAAGAGGTTGCCAGTTCAATTCCCCCATCAGGGCACATGCCTGGATTGCAGGCCAGTCCCCTGTTGGGGTGCGTGTGGGAGGCAACCCATTGATGTTTCTCTCACACATTGATGTTTCTCTCCTCTTCCTCCCTCCTTTTCTCTCTAAAAATATTTAAAAATTTTTCCAAAACAAATTCTAAAGCAAAAAAAGGAGAGATCAATTTGATCATATGAAAATAACAAAAAACACCATAGACAGAGTTAATACAGATGGTAGATGGAAACTTTTCCAATTTCTAGGATGAACAAGGGACAGCCATCTAGAATATACAAGAAATTCTTGTGTATCAAGAAGGCATTAGCCCTAATAGAAAATATGAACAGACAATTTACAAAAGAAGGAATCTGAGAAGCTAACAAGCATATGAAGAGATGCTTAATTCTTAGTAAATAAAAACCATGCAAATTAAAATTAAAACAGCAATGAGATATTACTTCACCCCAATATACTAGCAAGTACTAGTAGGCTGAATAATGCCATGTGAGAATGATTGACTATGGGGCAGGAGGATAAAGAAAATCAACCAACCAATCAGAAGTTCTGGAGCCAGATAACCTGGGTTCAAATCCTAGCTCCACCAGTCACTAGATGTTGGTAACCCTCTGTGCCTTATAGCAATGGAGATAACGATAGTATC